GTGAGTAAAAACCTCACTTCTTCGGATGCATCCGAAGAAGTGAGGTTTTTACTCACGAAAGCTTATGCCCAAATAAATCTGTTAGTCTTTAAGGTGCCACCAGATTATTTTACAGTGCTTCGTTTACACAAAGGTGAAAGTTGAGAATAGTCCACTAGTGTATATTGGAGCAAATACAAAGTCTATTGGTAAATAAATGTCATTTTATGCATTGCAGACATGTGCAACCTCCAAAAAACAAGTTCTGTCATTGGTGAAGTTTAAACAATGTTCTACAAATCTGTGATGTGCTGCATAATGGGATATTTTTACCCACATCCAACGCATAAAATTAGTTATCTGGCCACTCTGTTCATGATTTGCAAACCACACAGGAATGGTACTGCCAGCCCCTTCACACCCAATGAGCAAGGGACAAGGAATCAAACCCTGGTGAGAACCACTGAGCAGCCCCATAACTTTAGGTCATGCAAGATTTGCAGGCAGTTCTTCACACATCTTCAACACTCCTTTCAGCTTCAGCAACAGATGTTCTGCTTTGGAACAGTAATTTAAGAGAAAGTTCAGAAGGTGACAGGAGTCTCCATTTAGACTTTGGTGCTCCTTAGTAACCCTGAGAGGATAAATTCTCCCCAGACTCCACCGCCCCAAACAAGAAAATCCTGTGCCTCCTCATCCTTCCACATGTTACATAAACAAAGACCGGCATTATCACCCCACACCAGAACTCCCAATGGAAAATACCAGGGCATCCACAAGAGATAGCTTCGGTGTTGCGAGCATCTAGCATTGCTCCCCATGAACGTGCTATGCAGGGCCATGGACCTGCCGCTCAGAGAAACAAGTTCCTATTCACACAAAAAGTGTATCGTTTGCTCCCTTTCTTTGGTCAATATTTAAGTTTTATACGGGTAGTTTCCTCGCCCTGTAAAGTACACTACATTCTCCTGCTGTGAAAACATTGATTCTCGAGGAAAAAAGAACCCTTAAGCATCTGCAATAAGCAACAACATGGAGCAGAAACATAATCAACCACTTTAAGGCCAATGAGAGGATGATGAGAATAAAACTAACTAAGAAGGGAGAGGAACGGGGAGGAAAGCAAATCATCTTATGAGTCTTCATAATAAAGCTAAAAAGGTAAAGAACTTAGGGCTGTTATGAAACTGTATTACACTGAGAATTAAAAAACAATCAGGATTGTGTCTATTTGCTGTAAGCTTAAAGCAACATGTATTAAAGAAGTTTATGTGAATCTAATGCACTCATGCCTATTGTTAGAATTATTACCAAGCTAAAAAAGATTAATTTCTCTAAATACACTAAATCCTCAGACACTATTATAAGGCTGCTGCTAGTGTTGCTATATCTTGGCTGCCAATACCATCAAGCACACCTTTAGTTGTGCATCCAAGATCCCCCTACCCCTCTCCAAAAAAATCTGGCCCGCTGTGCCAATCATGGAGTCTCAACACGTTCAGGAAATTGACAATTACAGAAGAGATGCTTCAAGAATAACTGTCCACTAGGACACAGCTGCAGTCTCCAGCAGCGTTTTCAGGAACTTTTAGTTACCAAAGTTGGCCTTAATATGAAAGGTCTGCTGACAAGTAGTTAGTCACTGTGTATCTTATATTCTTGATTATGAAGTCCAAGCTTTTAATTCAATCTATCTAAAAAACAATACGTAAAGGACGTTGCCACATTTGAAATATTCTGAAATCAGCAGCACATACGGAATGGCACATGTGAATCAAGAGTATTCACCAATGGTCAGCAAGTCACAAAACAAAATTCCAGTTTGGCTCCCTTTGGGGGTAAACTGCATCCCAAGGGAGATGAAAAACCACAGTAGAAACACACAGACCCAAGGAAATCAGAGCAATTTCTGTTGGTTTCCCCTTGTATTTCTCTAGGGGACAGCTCAGCAATTCCTGATTGGGTTATATCAAGGGGGAAATCAATTACACTTCTGCATCCTGAACCGCTATCCAGATATTTCTTTTTTAACCTATTCTGAAAACAGGTGCTGGCTTGGTGGAAACACCACCTTTAACACATTCATAGCAAATATTTTCAAACAGCACTTTGCTATCTATATCCCATGAGCTTTCATGCTTTGCCACCCCAACAACAAATGCCTTACCAAGCAACGGATGGAGCAGTTGGGAGGTCTTTAGTGTGGTCCATAACTCATCCACTGAGTCATGTTTACAGGACAAAACCTTACGTATGTTCTAGAGGAGACTAGCAGATGCACAGGTAGGATCACGGCAGTAACATAACAGGAAAGGAAAAGATTCTGTACCATTTTCTCCTGAAGATACTATGATCTGGACGGGGAGAAGAGGGCTGCTGTTGCTGTTAGTAAAATGAAGCTCACTGACATTTTCCTGTAGCAACCTAGCCCAAGCCTGCATCAATTCCTCAGTTCAAATTCCTCTGTCACTATCCTAACAACGTAGCATTCACATGAACATAGAGTCTTAATTGAGCAGTTTCATCTGCGCAGGAGCAGACAACTCACTTTCCCCCTTCACAGCTCCACCCTTTATTGCCCTGGATTCCACCCTGGCAGAGGTTATGGTAGAAGGGAGACTGACGACAGAGGATTCCCACTAGTCTATTCTGATTGAAGTGCCCAATTGTCTCATAAAAACACTCAGAGCACCAGCAAGGTTCTCTGGCTGCAGCAGTTTTAGAGGTGCACCTCGGAGGCCACGCTAATATGATGTGATCCAAAAAGAATCAAGTCTGCGCTGATCGAGTATCTTGAAACTCTTCCACTCTGAAACCACCACTGCAGGCAAGCCAGGGACCCTCTTCAGAACAATCCCATCCCAAAGCCTGACAAGTTGCCAAGCTTGCCTACGAGTTCACAGAACAGTCAGCCTAGCTTGGAGCAAGGTCCCCACTGACCGCTTCAGATGGCTGCAAAGTCTCAAGCAACAGCAGCCCTGTGACTTTTAGTCATGGGGTTGCTCAGGAAGCATTTTGTTCTGCATTACAAAAAAAAAAAAGCCAGCTGCCGATACCCTCATTATGCACATCTGCTATTTACCTGGGATTCCCCAAACATGAATCTGCAGAACAAACAGTCATTGCTTCACATCCAATCCCAGAATATAGCCTTTCCAACCTGTTACCAAAGGTAGGTTCAGTCCCAGCTAACACCTACACCATGTTCAAATCATCTCTCTTCCAGACACTCCACGGCCCTTAAAAACAGGACCTTCAACAAAAAGGGGTTAAAGAAAAAGACTGCAATGCAGTCTTAATGAAATGAAGTACCTTTATATTGATATTTTTGAGACGGGATTCTTGGACGCCCAGAGCAAGCTTCCTAGTAGCCCTAAGTGCACTTTGTCTGCAATGAGTGGATAGTTTTTTTCTCCCCCCACACTAAAGAAACTGAAGATTTTTCCTTTTCAGATCCATAAATAACATACTTTTTTCTGTGCAGCAAAAAAGCTGGTAAAGATGTCCTCGACATGAGAAATATCAGCAGTGCTCCCCCAAAGCACAGCTACAATAATGCTTTGTTGTCCATTGCTATGCAAAACTACTTCATTCTACCAATAGTCTGAACACCTTTAAGCACTCAAGATAAGGATCTGAACTAATTTACATAATTGCAACATTATGAAATACTGTTCAACCAAGTCAGAACACTACTGATTTTTTTAAAAAAGATACCGCCAGTTGGCTACGTTTGCTTTTGGTGTGTTGAAGAGGTTCAAGCTATCTGACCCCCTAATTACAACGAGGATTAAAAATTTGTTACTCACGTAATCATGAAAGGCTTTTGCTTCACTTGAATGTTCACAAGTATCTCGCCTTTCAGGAGCTGCACAGTAAAGGTCCCAAAATACGCTGCATGGCAGAAAAAGCAAAACAGGATCTAGTTACTAATTATTACCTATATACTAAACAGCAAACATACAGTGACATAGTACAAACTGTGCCAACAGTTCATTAAAGGGGAACAGCTTTCCACCTCAATTGGCCTGTGGTCGAGAACATTTAAAGTCCATCAGAATCATGCATCCCATTTCATTCCATTCAAATCTTCTAGCAACAATTCCAAATAAAAGCATTTCAAACAGGGTTACCTTAAACATTTTAAGAGACAAAATTAGTACTGGTAATAGTTACAGCGAGCAGGCAATCTGCCAAAATGAAGAAAGCTAATTCATGGACTTCTAAAACCTCAACTTAAGAGGTTATCAACCCTCATCTCAGGATGCCTCTTCTCCCCTACCCCCAAAAGGTGTTCCAGTAGCCAGCTGTTTCAGCTTGTTCAAACCTCCTTTCCACACTCAAAGTTTTGAGCAACCCTTTGCAAGAATCCAGTCTGGAGCTTCAAGAACTGAACCTCGAAGTAACGTTTCTCACGTGTGGGAAGTATTCCCACAATGAGTACAACCCAATCACAGAAATTTCACTTCGGCAGGGGAAGCCATACAGCAAATGCTCTTTGAGCTCTTTGGTGTTGACCACACACAGGATTTCCAGTTAAGAACATCTCAGAAAGCGCCCCTAGACTGCTCTCCCTCAGATACAAAGAGCCCCTCTCAGCATAGCATGTAGGTGCTGACTCACTGCTTCTTGTTGACCTGCACTGGTTGCAGGGCAGCATTTTGCCACCTGAGAGCCTGAAGTTGACTGGATGGCAATCCAGTGACAGTATTAGCATATATATATGGCAGCAGGCAGAGAGAATTCAGTTTTGCAGCATCCAAAAGCCTTAATTCTATACCATGTTCCCCAAACCCCCTTCTTTAACTGCGTTACCCAACATGCAGGCATGGGCAGAAGTTAGACTGCCGAGGCATGCAACATAAACTGACTCCCCTACACGTCCAGTAATAGCACAGATCTGATCTTCCGAGACTAGTCTGCACTATATGCTTCGTATGTCATAAGCATCCTGCACTAAGTTGGCAAATGCAATTAGGAACTGGTTTTCTCAGCTAATACAATATTCTCAGTTACTGGCTGCAGGGGAACTCACAGCGGCTCCAGTCTCAGCCACTCCCAAACGCAAGGTGTCTGCTCTGGGAAACTAGTAGGCATGTATGCCTGGTTTTCCTAAATTTTGGGAATATGACCAAAATCTCTCTCAATATACCCAGTATTTGTTTGTTTTTTAAAACACTATGGCAAACTTTAAATGAAAAGGCATTTGAAACCCATTGACAGTAACTTCATGGACACAAGTAGTCTTCCCTTGCTTCTCGGGGAACAATAGTAGATTCTCCAGAAACTTAGGAGCCCTGCAAGTTTGCCACAACAACACACCTTTGCCAAAGATAAGCCACAAAAACGGACCTCTAATGTGTCTGTATAACTGTTATTACCACCAGTCAGCACTGAACAGAAAATGGCATCTCCTCCCCTCACCCAAAAACAACCCCCAAAAGATCAAGTCATCCTGAATCACCATCTTAAAGAAAGCAAGAGCTCCCTTCTGCCCTTGCTTTAGAATGATGCAGAGGGACAGACAAGCACTTATTTAGATACCCTGACTATCCAGCGAGAATAAAAAAGAAACCAACAGGAAGTTCTCCTCTTCTTCCTTATAACAAAGCACAAATTTCTATTCATTAAAAAAAACAAATCTTATCTTTTAGTAAAAGACCACAGTTCACCACCATACACTGCTACTACACAACATTTATTTTTCAAACGAGACAAGGATCAAGCCAAAACTTTTACCTAGGCTATTTTTTTTTCTTTCAGGTGGGTTAAGATAAAACATTTCTTTTTTATTTTTTTCTAGGAGGAACTAGGAATGCACACTTACCACCACCATGAATGTAGAAACCCAGGAGGCTCTCCTAGTGTGATATTTTTTTCCCATCGGATCTACAAACAAGAAAGCGTGCAAATCGGTTAGATGAGGCAGGGTGAGAGCAAGAGAGGACGCTCCTCCAAATAGCCAGGAGGCTCTGAGGCCAACTAGCAATAAATGGCAAAAGGTGATAAAAATTCAAAATGGAGGCCACAGTGGCTGCTTCTGAAAACAAAGGCTATCAGGGGAAAGGGGGGGGGGTCAAAAAAATAGAGCCACTTACCTCTGATAAAAAGGTCTGTGCTGATTTCTGCGCTCCTACATGCAGCAAATATTCATAGACGTATAAAGCTAACCTGTAAAAGTACAGAAAGAGAGAGACACCATTACACTGGAAAATACTTCATGAAACCATCCCACTCCGACAAAACGGTGTCTCCTCTCCTGAGAGATGCATGCTAAAACCTATGGCAGGAAAGGACACACCATCACCACCAGAGTGGGAGAGATGGGAACTGCCCCTTCCTCTCCCACCCTCCCCCCAAAAGTTGACCCTACTTTAGTGCAGGAAACAAAATTACTTCTCAAGCCACATGCACAATTCAGCATGCAGCCGGTATCCCAAGTCACTGAGCCAGCCGCGGGCAAGCCAGAGCCCCACCAACTAAAAATAAACAAAATAAAAAAGGAGGGGGGCGGCAAGGTTGGTTCAACCCTCTAAGTGCATGGGGAAAGCGGAGGATATATGGGGGGGAGAAGAAGAGAGACGAGAACTGCTTCGTCTCCAGTCCCTTTGCCCCCAACATCCTCTGCCTGCCCCAGCTTACGAACTCCAGGAGCCAGCAGTAAGCGAGGGGGCCAGACGGGGCACCGAGGTGGGAGCAAGTGATCGTGCCCAAACAAAGCCCCTCGCCCCATACACTTGCATGGACGGACAGCCAGGGTCAGACAAAAGGACGCGGTGGAACCAGCAGGCGCCCCCACTCCCCTCCCCGGGACAGAGCAACAGCCAAGTCTGAAAAATACCCCAGGGGAGACCCCCAGAGATCGGAGCCTCCAGCTCCCCTCCCAACCTCCAGCTCCCCAATCCCGCTCCAACATCGGGGCTCCCCCAGCGCCGCGAGCCCCGCCGCGGCCGCGCTTACTTCTCTCGAGCCTGCCCGTCCGAGGGCACCGCCGAGCCTTTGCCTTTGGCGAACATGGTCCGCAGTGAGGAGGCGAAGCCGCCACTGGCTCTGCTACCGCTGCCTGGGTCTCTTCGGTGCCGCTTGGTCTCCCAGCCCCGCTCCCCTCGCTGTGGCTCGCCCCGGCCTTGGCTGCCTCCCCGCTCGCTCACTCCGGCTCCAGCTGTCAAAGCCTCAGCCCCGGCCTGGACCCCATCACCCTGGAACTGCTCCTGCCCCAGCTCCTTCCCCTGCTGCCAGTGCCGCTACCACCACGGCTACTCCGAGCTCAACCGAACGTGGCTACACGGGGATGGAACGCGGCGGGCGTCAACGTTCCACAATTGATACACGCCCCGGCCAATCGGCGTCCGGCGGGGGGAGGGGCCGCCCGCCCCCAAGCGGCATGTTAAGGTGATACGGAGCTAAATGCAAGAGCTGGGCTGCTCCGTGCTAGGCGAAGGCGGCCGGGTTCAGCCTGCCTCGTAAAGGGCCCCATGGGATGTGGGGCTTCTCCTGCTTCTGGAGGCCTGGGGCGGTGCTGTTCCTTCCTATCTCTCTTATCCTCCGGCTTCCTCTTCCCTCCCAGTGTCCCCACCTACTTCCCACGAGGCCCCCCATCCTCCTTCTCTTACACTCCCCCAGCCATCCGCCCTTCCCCACTTTCACCCACCACCTACCTCTCCCACCCCACTCCCCCGTAAGCCCCCCGCCAGCTCCTTCCCCTTTCGTCTCCCACTAACGCCTCGTTCCCTTACCCCCCTCTAGTTCCAAGCCCCCCAGCAGCCACCCTTCCTTCCCCTCCCTAGTTGCCCTTTTCCACCCCTCCTCCGCCCTGCTCTTAAATCCCTTTACTCTCAGCTGCCCCCAGTCTACCCTTACCCCCCTCCCCAGTGCCTCCCCGCTGCTGACTTTTCCTCCCGAGGCTATTTCCCCTCGTGGGGAAGCGCTGGGAGCTCATAGGTACCCAGGCCAAGCTGTCTTGGGGGACCATGCCACCCCGCGTCCGAATTGCCCTGCCTGCTGGTGGGCGAGGACTCGGAGCGCCTCACTCCGGGGGCAGAGGGTAGCCTAGCGCAGCGCCGGAGTCCTGGGAAGTTACTGGGGGTGTGGGGCGGGCGCCTGCTTTTTAAACAAGGCAAACTTGAAAGTCCAGGATGAGGGAGGAAATTGACGAGGGTTCGAGCTCCGTGACCCAGGCGAGGAGCCTGGCTGGAGCCTGTCTTAACCGACAGAGCCACAGGCCAGAATTTGCGATTTATTCTCTCCCTCCAGTGTGAAGTTAAAAACTCTTGATTGGGGGTGGAGGGGGAGAGAGGCGGTGTTTCCAGCCAATTCTTTAGTGCCTGTTTCTCTTTAAATATGATATAACCTGGTTGGTACTGTCCCTTTAAAAGAAACAAGCTGAAAAAGCTGTGTAAGCGCCGATTGGCTGCCTGTTTGGATATATCCTAAGGGGAGCCTTGAAACTGTTCGCCTAGGTTGGTTTTTTTTTTTTTTATTAACTGCGCTGTTCCAATAAACAAGTAACGCCCCTCCCCCTTACATGCCTATCACCAAACAATTAGAGGCTAGGTCAGTGTCCTGGGGAAAACACAGTGGAAGTAGGAAAACTCAGCCTCACAGTTAATCTAAGCTAAAAACCACACAAGCCTATTAAAGTTCACTGCCGTTGTGCTAATGTGCATTTTTTAAAAGGGACCTTTATATGCTAGGAAAGAGCGGTGTCTATGTGCCTGGCTGGAAAGGAGACCCTAGGTGGCTTTTTTTGGAGTAATGTGCCCATGAATGCAGTGGTCTCTCCCCCCCAAAAAAATGCTAAAGCCCTAAACCCTGTGCACGCTCCTTGATGTAATCTGTTCACTGCGGGGTCACTGAGATTTATTTGGAAAGGTAACATTCAAGGGGGTTGCTGAGCAGTCTGTGGAAACTCTAAGTTTTAAATAAGATTTGTGTGTGTGTGACTGTGTGGGAGAGAAGGGGGGTGGGCATGGAGCAGGGGGGAAGGGAAAGACACACTCTCCATAGAATATGAAGGGGTTTCTAGCCATTTTTTGGATCAGGAGTAAATCGGGTTTCTCTGAGCCAGCCAGCAGTAATCAAATTAGCCTGCTACAATTGTTAGCGTGAACTTCCTTAAATCTTTGGTTTGTAAAACACAAAGGTTAGCTCTCTTGTCTATCACTCACTTAGCAGCCAAGTTTTAACCGTCTCTTCCCTGCCATTTACTTGTAAGATTATTAGAATATGGGCTAGTTGTGCCCTTTGGGTGGGGATTAGCTATGTGTGTGAGGCACATTTGGACAAAATTCAACTACTTCCCAAGAAGAACATTTCTTCATGCTCATAGATGACATGTGTCATTCCTGCAATGTTACTTAAATAAGGGATACTAATGCTAATAGTAAGTGATCATTCATTCTACAAATAAAACAGGGACCCATTTGCCCCCCACCAAAAACAAAAGACTGGCAAGGAGTATGGAGCAGTATTTTATGGAAAGTGTTGGCATATAGTTCAGGGCACAGCTGGTAGATGGAGATGGCTTTCAGTATGCACTACTTACTCCTGATACCAGTCATTTGCACTCAGCCCCTTCCAACGGTCATCCTTCCAGGGATGGCTTGATTCCAGAAGCTCAGCAGACAGTGTAGGTAGAGGGTGAAGAGGAAAAGAGGCTTTTTGTTTTTTTAAGTGCATGTAGGAAGTTCCAGGTGGAGAGTGCCAGTATCTATATGTTCCCTACCAATACCATTAAAGTAGATTGAAACAGGAGTGGGAGCTCTCGCTGCCAACCACAGAGGAGGGAGGGCTGTGAGGGACTCCCCCATGTCAGGGCAAGGAGGAGTGAGATCTCTCTCTTGCTTTTATCAGAGTAGATCCTCCTCCTTACTTAGCCCCTGGCACTTGCCTGCAAGACAGAGGGATACTGACATCATGCAGAGAGTGGACAGTTTCCCCACCCATGTTAGGAATGTCAGTTGAAGCAAACAAGAACAGCAGCAGTGGCAGGGTGGGATAACAGATCTTGTTTCTGAACCAGGGTCACTCTAAGTGGGGGGCTCTCTCTTTAGAAACTAGCTTTTTTTTATTTAAAGTGAAGTTGTTACACTGGGGAAAACTTCAACAAAATGCTTGAGCCTGTTACCCTCTGCCCCCTGTCTTTGCCATTTTCGCAGACATCTGTGGGTGGAATAAAAGCTTTTTCCCTGACTACCCAACTTCTACTGGTGGATGCTGCAGTGAATCAGAGGCCTATGTTTGTGACATCACTCTGTTACCAGGGGAATTAGAGTGATGTGATAGATTCAGCATTCTGACTTCACTGCAAGCCCAACTTGGGGCATGATGGGCTGGGAGGGAGCCAACCTTCATCTCCACTAAACATCTTCAAAAAGGAGGAAAGGGATGAACTGTGGAAAATATTAATTTATATTTTAAGCTTGTTATATTTGCAAGTTCGACCCAGGTCACCTGCAGATCAGGGCTGGCTCCAGGTTTTTTGCCGCCCCAAGCAAAAAAAAACCAAACCAAAACAAAACAACCCCAAAGTGCCGCCCCCAAAGAGCCGGAATGCCACCCCTTGAAAAGGGCTGCCCCAAGCACATGCTTGGAACGCTGGTGCCTAGAGCCGGCCCTGCTGCAGATGCTCCTATCAAAAGCTACCTAAATGTAGTTTTTTTGTGTAGAATGTCCCAGACAGCACTGGTAATGGCCATTCAACACAAATAGTTTCATCCTGATCTTGCCTTGCCCTGTTCCATGCCCAGTCCCCCAAAGCTGCACTAGCCAGTTCCTACTTCTTTAGGACATGCTAGCAGACATAGATTCCCCCCCACCACACTGGCATTTGTTATACGCGATGAAGCACATTTTAAGCTGTCTTTTATCATCTCCAAAGCTATTAACCATTTGCTAAATTTGTTCAAACTGAGCAATCTAATAATAACCTGATCACTTATTGAGGGCAGGGCGGTTCCATGCTTTAGAGGGGGTTTACATGCTAATGGAGACTTCACAGCCTGGCAGAATAATAAATCTAATTGGCTAGTCAAAAGTCAGGCTGTGCATGTATCCAGATAACCACCAGGTCACAATCCAGCTAGCAAGCCCTCCCTTAAATTAGCACATTCACCCAGTTTAATGCAAAACTTAATGGTTCATTTAAACAACAGACTAGAAAACCACTCTAGGAAACAGTCCTGGATTAATAGGATTAGATACATTTATTGGGCTTTTCCATTGTGGTTAGGTACTATTTCAAACCCCTTTGGTTTGTAAATGGCTTGATCCTGCAATCCATAAGCACAACTTCCACTGAAGCCCAGTGGCTGAATTTTGAAAATAGGACTTGCAGGTCTCAGCAGGCAGCCAGGAGCTGAAACCTAGGATTTTCTTCTCTGCTGCTAGTTGCCCACTGTCTAGCAGCAGTTTTCCTCACACAGTTTCTGTAGAACAAGTTGAAGCAATGGAAGTAATCCTTTGCAGTTCTATAGCAGCTCTTGCTACGGAACTCAAAGTCCTTTACAAGCCTTAAATAAATTTCAGAACAGTGCCGGGAGTTAGGTTTAAGTATTTGATTAATTGTACAGCTGGAGAATCTGAGACAAACACAGGTTATGTGGCTTGACCAAGGTCAAGCAACAAATCTGTTGCAGAGTCAGAAATAGAATTCAGGAGTCCTGATTCTAACCACAGCTATAATCCTTGTGCCAAGCATGCAGTATCTTTTCTCAAGATCAAGCTTTCAAAAGCTGTATTTTATAATCCTTACCTTCACCTTCCGATGGCCATTTCTATGGAAACCTGGGCATAAACAGGAACTGAAAGCCAGCAACTGAAACTAACAAGAACTCCAGCTCTCAGCTACTGGCTTATAGTTACAGTTTCCACGGGAACAGATGTTGGATCAGCACTAAAAATAAGGAATAGGCTGGAAAGAGACCCTTTTTCAGACTTTGCGTCTACCTTGATGTTGTTGTTCTGACCTTGCTCTCCAAACAACAGCCAGAAACCTGCTTTCAAAGTCTAGAGCACTTCAAGCTGGTTAAAGAGTGTTTCAAAATAAACTATTAACAATTACCATTTGCACTTTACAAACAAAGGCCCTAATCCTGAAAACATTTAGGCACTTTAATAACTTTACGCACATGAGCGGTCCCATTGCTCTTGCACTCAGCATCAACAAGTCGCACAACACTCCTACAAGGTAGGCAATAACGAAGGCCCCAGTCCTGCAAATACATACATACATTCAGGAGTAATTGCAGTAGTTCCATTGGAACAAATGGGATTGTTTGTGCATGTCAGCACTTGAAAGATCAGGGCCTCAAACATT